CTATTTTAATCCTTTGAATGATTAAATTGCAAAAGTAGAGGTTGCAATTCATAATGCTGCACAGGTCACTCAATCCTCGACAAGTTAGTTATTTAAGCCTTTCACAGTGAAAAAAATGTCTTCAAAGGTACATGGAACCGAGCAGCCACTTTACAATCAATCAAGTGAGTCCAGCCCAGTAGCCTGCTCACCTCTGTGCCTGAAGGGGCCCTGACAAGCAACCCAGAAATAAACCACCAAGTGGGTTTATAATTGTAAAAAATGAAAATGAATGCAAAACGGGGAGTAATATTAATGGCATTCGAGAATGCTTTGCAATACTTACTCGTGCGATTACACACAGTGGAAGCGAGAAAAACAACTATTGGTGTGACTCGTTCAAGCTGGATCAGTGAAGCAGTAAACTGTACAAACATCACTGTTGTATAACATCATCCAAGTAATCTGGAACAAATAAACTGAACGTTACAGATAGTTCACTGTTGTACAGCTATCCTGCTTTATTTATTAATTCATATGTAGATGGGCTAATTTACACCAGCAGCGTGTTATGTTCTATGTTTTGCCTTATTAGAATTCACTATAAATATTCACCTACTAAAATACCCTAGAGATTATAATATTTTCAAGATAGGATTTTTATAATCCCTAATAGCATGCAATGCATGTACCATGCAATAGATTCTTACACACCAGCTCGTGTACAGTATTGCTTTCTGTGTTCTGCTAAAATACTACTTTTAATCGCAGTACCAAGAACTAACTATACCAGGTGCTGTGACACTGTTATACTTATTATCCCTTCACCAATCTTACTCCATCTCGACTGCCGCATTATGCTTTAAAAAGTACTTTGAACAAAAGAAAAAGATTAGACCTTATGTTACAAAGATTGATAGTGGGCAGTCCTTTGGGACGTCCTCCCGAGGTGAAAAGCGCTATATGAATGTAATTTTGTTGTTGTTGTTGTCAACAGCTCAGTGGGCATAACTCACTGTAAAAAAAGTTATAAAGAGACTCAGAGAAACAGAAAGAGAACAGTAGAGGTTACGCTTAAAAGATTACTGTATTTTAGCCTCCCCTTTTATTAGATTGCCAGGCATCTAATAGCTGACAAGTAACTGCTGCAAATGACACCACAGCAGTATTAACTAAATCAGCAGTTCAGTTCAAAAACTCTTTGAAGGCTTTACATGGGAGATAGCAAAATCCTTTTGTGTTTTGCTGTATTTAAAACATTGTTTCATATGTTTGTACAAATTGCTTTAACTAGTTTAAAAATTGCACAGTGCGGTGTTCATTCCAGCCGTGATGGCGGACAAATTGGTGGAATTCAGCATGTGTATGTCTCGCTGTGCAAGGTAGTCCTGCTACAGGCATTCCACAACATATGTGCTGAGCTCCCATTTTGTGGACTGAACAAAAGAACAATAAGGGATTGTCACCAAGAGGAAAGAGTGGAACAGATGGGCCAGGGTCCAGAACTGCAAAGGAGCCAAGCATTTATGTATGTCACCCATAGTATAGGCGAGGAGTACATTTTAATTTCTTTGCCCAAAGGATCTTAATAAACAGGTAAAAGAGAGTCATTTAGATAAAACATCCACTTAACATTATACATAGTGTCTTTGTCAATGCTTCACTTTTATGGTAAATCCCATTGAGAGCATCGCCAAAGACATGCATTGAGCAGAAGTTTTACCCCATTGATAGCACAGAGGAGGAAAAGTTTGACTGCACAGTATAGTTCAAACTATTTTATCCTTTCCACAGAATCTTGAAGGATTATTTTAAATAACAATAAACATTTTATAATTAGCTCCCCCCCACCCCCACAAGCAAAAACGCCTGAGAATTGTATGTTTTCAACTGCTCAATGAGACTATTAATAATAATAATCCTTGCATTTGATATAGCGCCTTATCACGTGTTTGAGACATCTCAAAGCGCTTCACAAAATATAATGTAAAGTGTATTGTCTGTGTACTGTATTACACCATTCACGGGCAACCTGCATCTTTTACCTCATCACCGAAGACACATATAGCTGTTTAAGAGTGCTGCTGACCTCTGCTCCAACGCAGTCAAGGAAGCGATGTGCTGCATTACTGTTTGAATTCAACACGTATTCATTCACTGCAGGTTAGGAGCTGTTTAAAAAGGCTCGCTTTAAAAAGCTGTTGCATTGTGACCTGACAGAAGCAAACTGTGAATGCAAAGCCAACAGCTAGATCACCTTCTGATGATGTGGTTGTGAAATATTTGTTCAAAGTCAACTAATCGCCATTGAATCTCGCCAGGAGTGTTTGCGTGCCTTAGAATAAACATTGCCCTTCTCTGTTCCTGGCTGCACTCTCCTTAATCAACAGAGGACAGTCCAGCCATGTGCTCTGATCCACAAACACTGTCAAGTACCGTTTTTTGAACAACACGCCAGCGGATATCCCTGAATGTTACAAAAGGAAAGTGTTTTCCTTCAAAACCGCAATAGAGACAGGCACATTTTACCTCTTGGGGACATTCAAATGCAAGTTCAGACGGCGAAATCTGGATCAGTGAAGCCCAAAATGCCTCATTGTTTTAAAATAGTTGAATATTGCAGAATTTTGAAAATGTATTACTTTCGAATTTAGAAGCTGGTTTTACGCAACCCTTTAGGTAGTTTTCAAATTTCAAATTTTAAACTAAAAACAATAATAAATTGGTCATTTTCAATCTACGACTGTTTGTGGGACATTGCTGTGCGCAATTGGCTGCCGCGTTTGCCCACAAATATACAGTCAATTCACTTTACAGTGTGTTCTGTGAAGCGCTTTGGGACATCCTCCCGATGTGAAAAGCGCTATATCAAATGCAAGGATTAAATAAAATAAATTAAACCATGAGAAATGTCATGCAAAGGCGCACTACAGTTGTAACTAGCAGATGACCCTTTTGGGTCCTTCAAATGGCTGTGTGTGTAACAAAGATCTTTATAAACTATGGTTAAAGATCTAATTGATGAAGTCCAAAGCAGGCGTTACAAAGCCTGTAGAAGCATGAAGGTTCTATGTTGATTAAATGGATAAAGCGCAGAAAACAAATAGCCAAATAATCAAATCCTTGAATGAGCTCAAAGTGTCTTATTCTAGAATAAAGCCTTCACACCTTTATACTCTATAGACCCTATGGACTAATTGACTTGTTGTCCCTTTAAGAACCAGCTAGGTATTGCTTTGAAATTCAAGAGATTTTCAAAAATGCAGTTTCAACAGGGATTCAAGATGACTTGCCAGTTAACCAAATTGTAATTTCTAATATCAATAATCTATCTTGGTATGGCTCTTCAGTCAGTAACATAATACAATCCAAATTCAAACAAACACAATTTCCAACTTGCTATTCTCTTTTTTCACAACAGACAGCTGTTTCACAGCCTACTGTACACATTAGAGGCCCGAAATTCCATCCACTCTTAGCTTGCAAGACTAGGCGGAATTTGTCTTCAAGATAAAAGATCACTTAGAATCGTGGAAAATTCTTCAATTCAATCTTAATTTAGAAGTTAATCTTCTTAACGGATTGCGGAAAACCAGCTTCCAAATTTTGATCCCACCAGAGAATTGTCCATAATTCTGCATGATTTTAAATATTAAAATGATCTTACAGGCAAAAGATGGGCCGAATTCCAGGCCAACAATTAATAAAGGAAAATAGATCTACATTCTATAAATTGTTAAATTAAATAATGGGGCACCCCATTATTCGGATTATTAGGCTAGTTCTGTTTTATTTTTTCCACAAAATGCTTTCGATATTTCCTCTTCTTCCCCCTCACTTTAGGTTTCACCACTTTTAAGTGCTTGAAAGCAGAGCACTTAATCATCTGATTTTATTCACCCTTCACAAGAAGAAAAGTCTGGCCTTCGCTAGGTATGTGTGAGAGCTTCCATAGAGCTGCTGAGATCTGTCAATCCCAGTTGCACACCCACATCTGAGGCAAGTTCTCTACTCTGATTTGTGCGAGCGTGAGGTAGAAAGTTTCCACAATACGTTTTTCACTTTAAGATGAATCAGTTTAAGGTTCAAGCAAGTATTTGGGGGCTTATAGTGGGAACCCATTTATCAGGGTAGGTCGGGAAAGATCTCCTTTCAGTGCAGAGACAAGTTCATGTCAATGGTATTTATGCCTTGTACTGCATGGCCGCAGTTCTAGCATTTTATGCACATTGGATTTTGTAAGAACATAAGAATTTGCTAGACGAAAGAAGACCAAGGTCCATCCGGTTTGCCTTCCACCATCCTGGCAGTCAAATGCACATGTTGTGTCCCCAAACTATATATTGTATCCTGAGATATTATTTCCTAACAGAAATCTATCTAATTTGTACATTTTTAAATGCACGCATACACAGGATGCTGAGAAACCAATGATTTGGTTAAAAATTTAGCGTGGGTAAGTGGCATTCGGAAAAATGGATTCTCACTTGATCTCTGCACTGTGACTTTGCTCAATATTTCAGAAACGTCTTGCATGTAATCCAAGGAAAATAGATCTACATTCTACAAATTGTTGAATTAAAAGATGGGGTCCACCTTCAATGCCTCCCTCTCCACACCCCGGAATAACAATCAGAATTGAATCATAAACAATAGTTAACATCCATGAAAAAGATAACACCTTAGGGTTTCATTAAATCAGGTTGAAAATAGGAACAAATTTCTAAATTCATCAGAACATTGTTGCAATTTTTTTAAGCACTTAGCGAGAGAGAACAAGAATTCTACATCATCGGGAAATTATTCAACCCAAAATCAACTCTTCATCACAAGAATGGGAAAAGAGTGCATCATCCCCAATGGTCACAGAGTCAGGCAGGATTCAGACCTGGCTGTTATGTCACGAGAGATGCAACCAAGCCAAAGCAAGAATGTATTGCTTCCAATGTCAGTTCCAAGCCCCAACAAGGGGCTTGAACAACCACAACCTTCTGGCTCAGAGGCAAGAGTGCTACCCATTGATTCGGGCTGACACACAAAAAAACTACTTGGTGTAAAGTGCTTTGAAATTCATTCCCACTGGGTGTTGTTTTGGATTAGGATTGTTGGTATTTAGAGGAAGTTCTATGATGGGATGAAACCTTCCTTCATTCCTCTTCTGACTGCTCCTGGAAAAAGAATAACATTAGTATCAGATTAAAGAATATCTGAATACCGAATATCTGAATACCGAATCATAGTTTCTGCTGATCAATGAAGTTTTCCATTGACTGGAATAAAACAAGTATAAGAACCAAGAACAAAGCTTTGAATGGGGACTATTGCTGTAGTGCATCTCGGAGCTTTGTGTCTTGTGGGTAAGGGTTGAATCCAGATTGCAGGCAGAAGCTACATGTCAACTAATATCAACTACAGCTGGAGAAGGGAATGAGCCACCCCGGCAATGAATGTAGCTCAGCGTTAAATACGGGTAGCAGCTCGTTGACGTCTAATTCACAAGTTCACAAAATTGGTTTAGATGGTCCTTTGATGTCACCTTCCAGCGTACACATCCTACCTTTCTCCCACCATAGCAACAAGTTTTTTTTAAATTAAGTCCAGCATCCTGGCTTCTGCTGCTGCCCTCGACTCCAGGAAACATGTAATGTCTCTGGCTAGGGAGGGAGGGAGGGAAGGGGGGATGCATGATAAGGAACCTACGCAAGATTCATGTTGAGATGTTCCTTTCAAGTCTTGACCTCTACAGGCTTTTGCATTGGAGGACGTCTCAAAGCCCTTACACCAGATTTACTGTACAACTTGATGACTATGTATTTTATGGGCATCTGCTAATAAATATAATCCCTGCATTTGGTATAGCTCCTTTCATGTCAGGAAGACATCAAAGTGCTACACAGGATTTACTATGTAGTGGAGTGACTGTCTATATGTAGAGTAACACAGCAGCCTATTTGCACAAAGCAATGTCCCACAAACAGTCATGAAGTGAATGACCAATTTTATCTGGGAGACTGTTGGCTAGGACACCAGAAGAAGATTCTCTTTTTGAAAAAGGGCATAGGATCGTTAATGTACACTTGAACAGACAGTCGCGACCTTAGCTTAATGGCTCATCTGAAGGACAGCACCTTCAACTGTACAGCAGCCCTCTCTCCCCCAGTACAACATTGGAGTGTCAGCCTAGATTATGTGAGTTTAAATTCCCGACATGGGGTTTGAACCCACAATCCTCTGACTCAGAAATAAGAATGCTACTGACTGAGCCAGGCTGATATCCCTGTGTCCCTTTGCAAGCACATATTATAATAATAATAATATAAATAGGCTGTTGTGTTAGTCCACATTTGATATAGTGGTTTATATCATGTCTTCGAGATGTCTCAAAGTGTTTCACAGAATTGTCTGTATATTTTGTAGGTGAAACGTGGCAGCCAATTACACACAGCAGTGACCCACAAACAGACATTACCTTTTTTAAGGGTTTATTACACCCAGAAAAGCAGTCCACCAATTGACTAATAATCGGCTTCCTACTTACTGCTAAGTAAACAGAGGTGTGGAGTAAGGAAATTTGCTTAACGTTTCGCCCTTCCTAGGAATCAATCCCAGGTCCTCTCGCTTGTGAGGCAAGTGCTCTAATCGATACACTACAGGCCTCCACAAATATTACAGTGTATTATACAAGTAATTCAAAAGCAAGTTCACCACACCTAACAGCAACGTAAAACAAATGAACCTTTAAACCACAAAGGACAAGCTGCGTACACTTCTATTTTGACCAGATATACCTGTTGGGGTGTTAGCTGAATCCTGAAAGTCCAACTCACCAACTCTGAATTGGCCTGGGGTCCGGACTGGGCTCCTTGAAATTCTCTAAAACAATTCCTGATGACTGAGGATCATTGACACAGCTTTCTACTTCTCTCAGCCACACCCTATGCTGAACTATGGGGCACATCGGTGAGATTTCATGTAAGGCAGCATCTCAGGTAGAGAGTAGCAATGGTAAATGAGAGAACAGTGAACTTACATCAGCAGCAGGTGCGCTTCCTCCATTGCATTCTCAGGAGCGGCATCTGCTACACAAAGACAATCAGATTAGGGTGCACAGTTTTATTCGAAAGGCAAACTGATTTGGCCTAATGTGTGAGAGAAACACGTATATAAAATGTGTGTTCTGGCACAGAGATCATTTAAACTGCAGTTTTCCTGTTTAAGGGCTTTTTCAATCCCAATGGCGAATTACCCTTGGGGCACCATCATGGCTGAGCCCAGTCCTGTCCTTACTACCATATGTATTCCAGTGGGGAATCTCCACCAATTTCTGCCTATCCATAGCTTGTGAACCCTGCATCCAATTGTGCATTGGCACCCCCACCCTGTTTCAAATCAACGTTTCCGCACAGACCGGGCAACAAACCTGGTCTGGTCTGTATGACTCAGTGCCATACCTATTTGGGATATTTTGTCACTGAGACATGGGGAGAGTGAAGGAGGGTGGGGGGGGCATGCGGGGATATAACAATTAAAGTAACAGTTACTGAAGTAAACAAAATGGAACAGGCTCCCTCTGGAGACAGCGGAAGCAAATGTGTTGATTCTTTCAAGAGCAAATTAGATAGATTTCTGTTAGAAAATAATATCTCAGGATACAATGTATAGTTTGGGTCACAACACACACATGCGACTGCCAAGCTGGTGGAAGGCAAACTGGAAGGTCCTTGGTCTCCTTTGGCCTAGAAAATTCTTATGTTCTTATGAAGTGAACAGAAAGGAAGAGTTATGCACAGAACCAAACACATACCTTTAACGTCTTGAACAAGATCTGCAGGAACTCCCTGGTTCCCTGGTCCATCTTCAACAGTTGAAGGGGCCTCAATGGCTAGTGGATCTTCAGGTGTCTCAGTAGTTTCTTCTGTTACCTTCCCTGGAGGAGAACTAAGGAGGACTAAGGAAGCAGCTATGTTTGGATCGGCTACACCTGAAGTCACCTCCTCAGCTGACGGAGTGTCAACTTTCTCGCTGGTTTCTTCTGAGATGCAGGTTGGGGGCTCCTCGGGATCAGACGGGGGAGTAGACGTCAGTAAAAGAAATTCCTCATTGATTGAAAACAATCTTTCTGAAACCAATACCGTGAACACAAGACAAGTGAGAAGTCGGCATGGAAATGAATCATTATAATTATCTTTACATTTGATATAGGGCTCTTCATGTCATGAGGATCTCCCAAAGCGCTTCACGGGATATATTTTTATATTTTCAATGTCACCCGTCCAGTTTGAGTCTGAACAGTTTGCTTTGGGTTGTGGGTGGGGAGGTGCATAGAGAGAGGGAGAAAGAGAGAAAAAAAGAAAGGAGAGCAGAAAGTTTTAACCCATAACTGGATGCCAAATGTGAGATTTTTTAATCTATTTCATTGTTTCATTTGTTTCTGTGTCTTCTCATATGGAAGTGTCCATTATTAAGATCAATAATGGTTTCCATAAAGTTGGTTAATTAATAAATTAAATGGAACTAAAGCCATGCCACACCCACCCTCTCCCCCGATCACCCCCACCCTCTCCCCCGATCACCCCCACCCTCTCCCCCGATCACCCCCACCCTCTCCCCCGATCACCCCCACCCTCTCCCCACAAACCACTAATCCTCTCCTTAGCTCCAGTCTTGAATTGAGTCATAAAAACACAGACATAAAAAACTACAGCATCGAAGCAGCCATTCAGTCAGCACTGGCTCACACAGCAAGGAAATCACTTCAGTCGCACTGCACTACCTTATCCCCATACCCCTTCAAGCTTTTGTATTCCTGCCTACTTCCTCCATGAAAGCTAGTCAAGGGCAACCACCCTTATCAATTTGCATGATTAAGAGAACACCTTCTGATATCTGAACTTTGTTTTGTGCAGCAACATCATGGCTCTCTGGGTTTTCTTCAACAGAAGAAGGGACTTCCTCACTCAGCGGAGCCTTAGCGCTCTCACAGTTTTCTGAGTCAGTGCAGGAGGCCTCTTCATTAGCAGAAACAGCAGCTATAAAAATAGAATAATGACTGGCAGCAGGACACATAAATTCAGCAAGTCTCTGTCTCTAAAGCAAAGAGAGCGAGCAACACAAATGAATAAACAGCACATGCAAACAGATCCTCAGCAGACAGCACTTCAATGTTGGGCAACATATTGATGTTTGAACAGGTTTATAACAGTGAAATTATCCTGAAACTACTAGTACCAGATTTCACTATTGGGGACGAAAGTGCAGTATTTTCTTTTACCGAATTTCAAGTCAAATGGATCAGACAAAATATACTTGTGTTTGTTCTGTGTGGAAATAAAACATGCATTCAACAATGTTTTAGAATTACAATAATGGGAATATATTCTTATTTTATTTCTAAGACATTGTTGAATGCATTCTTCAGCAAAACTAATGTTTTAGAAATCCCCAAATTACACATTTCTTGTTAAGAAAGACTACAAATTAGACTCCATAGGTGTCTATAAAGGGGTCAGTATCACTAGAAACAATATTCACCATGTAATCATCATCCAAGTTCTAGCCAGTCTCCACTGACTCCCTCTCTCCCCTACATATTGATGTCAAGCTCCTCACCTCACCTACAAATCCATCCAATGCCTGGCAGCTCTGTATGCCTTCTCCAATCTCCTCCTACCCCACTCCTCTGCCCGCTCTCTTCACTCAGCTAACTTGGGCTTCGCACCACCATCGGTGGTTGAGCTTTCAGTTCCTATGCTCCCAAACTTTGGAACTCCTTTCCTATATCATTCGTCTCGCCCATCTGCTTCTGACTTGAAATCCCACCTCAAATGCCTATGGCCACCTTTCTCTCATGCTCTCTCCTCCCCCTTGCTCAGTGTCCAATCCTATCTCTATGAAGCCCTCCGAGACGTTAGCCTAGGTCAAGGACAGTATATTAACCCAAGTTGTTTTTGCATAGTTTAGTACAGCGAAATCAGGTCCAAATTCTTAATAGTATTAACAAGCCAGTCCTTGATCAGCTCTTTGATAACATGAAAAAACGGTGCATCGAATGTTCCGAGAGCATGAGGGAGGGAGTCCTATACCGCAGTTGTGGGTGTGAATCCCACTTTGAGTACAACCTCCTCCAGGAGTACTAAAGCAAAGAGTCAGCATCTTCAGAAGATTAGAGCAGACAACTTCTAAGGGAAAAGAGCATTAAAATTGATTGTGAAAGAAGGGGAGGCTGTGCTTTTGAACACACTCAGTCTAGTTTGCATTGAGTGGCGGAAATGTGGCTGTGGGGGGAGCTAAAGGCGGAAGGTAAATATGCACGCAATTCCTGAAAATATATGACATGCATCCCCGCCTTCCCTGAAGATATTGCCAACGCTGGGGTAGTTACATTGTTGCGTGCAGTTTGTGGGTACCCCACTTATGTGTTGTTCAGAGCTACTTGGGGAAGAAATTCTAGCTTTGACTTTTTTCTTAGCATTTCAAATCGAGCACGTTTTGGACAATTTTCAAATTCAGTCTGATTTATGAAACCAAGTTGTTGAAGGGTTCTTGAAATACCCTTAAACATTAAAGAGCGAATTTAAGAATTGTCCAAAATTTGCATGCTCTGAAATATTAAAAATAAAGTCTTGTCTAGACCCAGGCAGAACTTGTCCCTTAATATTTATTGAAAGGACACATGCAGTACTCAGGACTACCACAAAGAGTCAGAAATCAGTAAAAATATTCATGAGGTTAGAATCATAGAATCTTACAGCACGGAAGGAGGCTGCCGCGTTTGCCCACAAATATACAGTCAGTTCACCTTACAGTGTATTCTGTGAAGCGCTTTGGGACGTCCTCCCGACGTGAAAAGCGCTATATCAAATGCAAGGATTATTATTATTATTCGGCCCATCGTGCCTATGATGGCCTCTTTGAAAGAGCTATCCAACTCGTCCCAAGAATTGACCGATTTTAAAAAATGCAATCATCTTTTTATAAAGTAACAACACTTGTTGCATTCAATGTGAGCGAGCATGGGAATCGTTACAGCAGAAAGGTTTTATGTTCCACCTCACGCACAATTATTTTCAATGAAGTCAATATCATGCTTATAATATACTCGAACAAAATTCACTAGAGCTGCGGAATTCTGATTCAACAATAACGACAAATTACATTTGTATAGCACCTTTCACCTGGGGAGGTTGACCCAAAGTGCTGGACAGTCAAGGATTTACACCCGGGCTGGGGGTTGGGATCAGGACACGTGGAGAGAAAGGAGGGTGACTGAAGAGGCGGTCAAAAAGGAGGGTCTTGAGATGGGCCTCAAAGGAAGCAAGGGAGTTGGTGAAGCAAAGGGACTGTGGGATAGAGTTCCAAAGGGTGGGGACAGAGGAACTGAAGGCCTGATGGTGGGGCAGGCAGGGCCGTGGAACAGGATGGAGTCTGCTGAGCAGAGGGAGTAGACAGGCCGGTATAGGGTTAGCAGGTCACAGAGGTAGAGAGGAGCAAGGCTGTGGAGGGCTTTGAAAGTGAGCTACTTCAGCTACATTTGGGCATGAAACTTAGGAGTGGGGTATGGGGTGCGAAGTCTTCACAAAGTCACAATGAAAGTTTGGATGAAGAAACTCTGGGCCCATTTGATCTCATCCTTCCACAATACCAATCTCACCACCCTTCCCATTACAGTATCAAGTGTTTTCGCTGATTCCAGTGGCCTAGCCTCCACCAACGTTCCTGGCGTCTCTATTTGTACCCTGTTTATCTCAGCTTCGATTGTTCCATAGGGTCCAGCATTCCTGTGGCACTTTGCCACAAACGCTATTCATGAACAGTGAGTGTCAGCAGGCTGTTCAACCATGCGAGGCATCACAGCCAAGCCCAAACTGTTCTCTCCAGACACCCACAAGTGCATTTTCTACCAGGAGTGGACCTAACTATTCTCTCTCCTCCTCCACCCCCCACCTCACACATACACACAGCTCAAGATTTCAATAAAGATCAATGCAGTTGGTGCTGCAGCTGGTGCATAATGTAGCCAATGTTGGCACATGAACCGAATGCTTGGCAGCTATCCTGTTCTTTTTGTCTGCTGCTCGGGGCTATTTTTCAGAGTTCAAACAGATGAGATCTTCATACAGAAATCTCTCTGTACAGAAATGTTTTTGAAAGAACGGCTGGAGCCCGGAGCCTGTCGCCCCTGTCTCTGCCAAGCCGTTGGTCTGCAGGTCAACAATCCACTCTCTGCTTGGCAAGAAGATCTTTCCACATTGACCTGAAGGTGTCTCCTCTCTCTATTACCCACTGCCACTCTGTGACTGACATCAACGTACACATGCTCGTGGCTTTTGGATACAGGTTGCAACTCACCACTGAATGCAGCGGTCATATGGCTCAAAGGGCTTGGTTTAATATCAGGGCAAAGTTCCTTGCCCTCGGCCCTCCGGTAAATCACCGCTTTATTGCATTCACTGAGAAACATGCCATGACATACATCATGCAACCCCACAACTTGCTTCATTTAGCTAAGCCCGCTCTGCTAACAACTTACAGGTTTACTGAATGAAGCTGATTTCAAAATTCCTAGGAATTCCTAGCAAATTGCAATCAAGTGTAGTGACTGGAAACACAGCAGCCAACTTGCCCGCAGCAACATTTCACAAACAGCCACGTAGTGAATGCCCAATTTATCTGGAAGATTGTTGGCTACAACAACATGAGAAACACCTTCTCTTTGAAAATAGTGTGAAGAGATTTTTACTATCCACCTGAACAGACAAACTTAACTTCAGTTTAATGTATCATCCAGAGGATGCACTTCTGACAATGCAGCACCACACCCCCCACAGCACTGCACAACAATGTTAACTTAGTGCATTCAAGATCTTTGCTTGGGGTTTAAATCTACAAGCTTCTGATCCGAGAAAAGAGTACGAGCCAGTTTGGCAACATTGCACAGCTCTTAAACATAGAGAGGGAGAGAACTTTGCGAATAACAGACTGCATCTAGTTCTGTATATTCACCCATGAAATAGAAATTTCCATATTCTGTTTACGTGACTGTAATACAACAACAAAATTACATTTGTATAGCACCTTTCACGTCGGGAGGACATCCCAAGGTGCTGGACTAGAAGTGTTTCGGACCAGTACACATAAGAGATTCGATAGGGTACATAGAGAGAAATGATTTCCTCTGGTGGGGAATCCAGATCAAGGAGCTCTAAAATTAGACCTAGGCCATTTAGGAGTGAAATCAAGCATTTCTTCACGCCAAGGTGGTGGAAATCTGGAACTCTCTCCCCCAGTAGGCTGCTCATGCTGGATCAATCGAAGACTGAGTTGGATAGATTTTTGTTAGGTCAGTGTATCAAGGGATATGGATCAAAGGTAGGTAAAGCCACCTCCACTGCCTTAAGGCACAGGTGCATGCTGAGTGCACCTGGCTCAAATTCAATGTAACAGCCCATCGGCAGATCTGGCTGGACCTTATCAAATCTTACCGCTCTGCCCTCGACTCCACTAAATCGTCATTCTACTCCAAGACAATCTTCGAGGCCAAGGAAAACCCCAGGCTCCTCTTCTCCATCGCCAACCGATTACTCCACCCACCCTCTCACACCTCATCCATCCTCTCCTCCAAAGCCAACTGTGAGGCAATTCTGGACTTCCTCGAAACCAAAGTTGAGGGGATCCACTCAGCTGCCTCTGCCCTTCCATCTACTAGCCCCTCCCCATCTCCTCCTCACATCCAGCCCTGCCCATCCCTCCCTCCACACCTTCGAACCTGTCTCCCACTCCTCTCTCACCACCACTAAAACCCGCAGGAAACCAACCACCTGCTCTCTCAACCCCATCCCTACCCCTCTCCTTAACTCCCAGCTCTACCCCCTTGCCCCCTCTACTCACAGACTTCATAAACCTCTAACTGCTCACTGGCACTGTTTCCATCCCTTTAAAAATGGCTGTCATTGCTCCTATCCTTAAAAACCCTCTCTGGACCCATCCTGCTCCCAAACTACTGCTCCATCTCCAACATCCCTTTCCTTTCCAAGATCCTGGAACGAGTTTTTGCTTCCCAGCTTTGCTCCTTCCTCTCCCGCCACTCCCGTCACAAACCCCTCCGATCAGATTTCTGTGCCACCCACAGCACAGAAACGGCTTTGGTCAAGGTGACAAATGACATTCTGTTCATCTGTGACCAGGGCTCCCTCTGCCTCCTCATCCACTTTGCTACCTTCAATACCGTTGACCATTCTATCTTCCTCCACCCCTTCTCCTCTCACCTCAACCTTTATGGTTCTGTCCTTGACATCTCACACTATCTCCACTTCATCTCCACAAACGGTTTCTCCTCTAGTCCCCACACCATCTCGTGTGGCGTTCCTCAGGGCTCTGTCCTTGGTCCTCTCCACTTCAATATCTATATATTCCCTCTTGGTGACATCATCCAAAGACATGGGGTCAACTTTCGCTGACCCTCAATTATCCTTTCTACCCCACATCCATGCCATGACCCACTCTGTCTTCCCCCACCATCAACATCGCCCGGCTCCGCCATTGTCTCATCCCCATCCTCGCCCGACTCCACCGGCTTCCCATCATACAGAGGATACAGTTCACGATCCTCGATTCTGTACACAAAGTAGTTGAGAACTGGGAGCACAAAGAGGTCAAGAATGGAAAACAAGTAATAGGGATTTGATAATGGACACTAAGGTTAGAAAGATATTGCAGAGTTTCACTAAATTACCCCTGGAGATCAGTGCAATAGTTTATAGGATATTGCTGCAAATAGGTTGCAAATCCATAATAGAGCAAGTTGTATAGAAGAAACGGGCTTGGTGAGCTTCACATCCAAACTTTTGCAGTCTCTTAAGCTCATTATTTACATCACATTGACAACACCAGCCTTTAAGTTTCAATGTCGCCTTTTATTATTATTATTATTGCACTCTTCACAAACTGTTACACAGAGAATCTAAAGCAACTATGTCTTCTTGAACTATCCATATAAGATGGTCAAATCCCACATGTCAAGCATGGTAAGGAATTAATTCACGTATTTTACTAAACAGCAGTCTTGCAGATCATTAAAACTATCAAACTGAAAAAATACAACTTGTCTAATTTGTGAGATTCCTTAATACAGAATCTGAGCAAATTGGGCTTCTCCCAGTAACAGGAAGTGTGTTATTTCAACCTGTGATCTCCTCTACAATACCATCTACTTCCAGAACACAGTTCCTGCAGGTTGATGAAAAGAATTCCCACAAATTAGACCCTATTATATCCTTATTACTGTTATTTCACACGTGTGTCTGGAACTATAACTGCTGGTAATCATAGTGGCCAAGATATCTAAAGACTACCTATGCTCACTCTTGACTGACAGTGACTCTTTTGTTTTGAGCTGTTTTATGGTTGGTGAGAAGGAACGTGCATTTAACAGAGGGAGGAACAATTCGACCGTTCAATTCAAAACTCTTTACACTCGTTCTGCTGGAAACACAACCCACAACTAGTATTTGTGTTTAGTTGTGAAAGAGATCAATCAGTTAGTGCATGCATTTGATGCTATGATTTTAAGTCTAATTCTATTGGAATGTCAGCCAGGGGAAATCTCCAGAGAAATCATAAGGCGGCACTGTTCTGCTATTGTCAGCCTACTCTGGCAATAAAATTAGCTTTAACACACATGTTAGCATGGCAAATTCTTTTCAGAAGTAATACAGCAATTGCCAAAAATTGCATTAAACTTTTTGTCTTCAAAATCTGTAAAGTATTATTCAATACCTGTAAAAACAGTTTTTTTCACATCTCAAGGCTTCTAGAGTTAATTATTTGGATGAGTAGAGAAAGTAAGATGGAAATTAAACTGAAAAGAGAGGCATACAGTGAATCTAAAGAGAGAGTCAAGGAAAAAGGGCTCAGTGATGAGTTATCTGGAGTGGCGAGTTAGACATGTGTATAAATACATAAATAAATGCCGTTGGGATATTAACATCATGATGACGTAAGTGGTGGTTAAGCCAAGGTCGAGTTATTAAGAGTTTACTACAGATAGATATCTATAAAGAAATAACTTGTAGGGGTATGGGCATAAAGAATTGCTCTTTCAAAGAGTCAGCATGAATATTATGGGCCAAATTGTCTTCTGTACTGTAAATATCTATGTTTATATGGTTGTGATATCCTAAAAATATGAACACTTTAAAAGCTGTATTTTGATCGCTAGTTATCTGTTGAGCCTTGTAATGTTTCTCAGTCCACAACTCTGGCATATTAAGTAATTCCTCTTTCTCTCTTTTTCTGTCTCTCTCTCAATTTCTCTCTCTTTCTCTCTTGAATCATATTCCACTATTTTAATCAATCTTGGCAAATCTTTTATGCCATCGGTCCCCTTACCCCTTTTGCTATACCCCTTAATACCTCTATTACCCAAGTATCTGTCTTCCTCTCTTTTAAGCTTTTTACATAGATTTACATATACTGGACCACATGGAAACAGGACATTCATCCCAACTAATCCATGCTGGTGTTCACATGAGTCTCCATCCACTCCTTACTCTCTCCCATACCCTGCTTTTGCCTTCTCCCTCATGTGGATATCACTTGATGAGAAATTTACCATATTCTCACTTCTGCCCTGAATTTCCCACAATCTCATGGATTAGGTTTATTAAAAGCACCCTTTTTGTAACAATGACATAAGTGGCAGAAGGGGAGGGAACTGTCATACAAGTTTGAGTAAATCCAACCAGTGTAGGTTGACAAGTGGGATACCTCAGGCATCTAATAATAATAATCATCCATAAAGAGAGTTGCATGGTTTGATATTACATCTAGTGAAGCATGCAATTTTTGTCTGTAAAGCTTGGTTAACCTGGAACTGCAGTATCCTTCGAGTTGCTTTTGGTCTCTCCCTCCTTTTTGGCTGGGGCAGCTTTCTCTGATGGAGGCTCCGTGGGCTGTGCATCTGCAGCAAGATCTATGGGCTCTTCAACATCGCACAGCTCAGCTGTAGCAGCTTTGGCCTCTTCACTCAAATCTAATCATTGGTTGAACATAACCACATCAGAACATGTCAATTGAAGAACTGTTGACATCTTTAAACAGGAACTCCACCCCAATCAGTGCTGTGCGCAGAGGAGTCTGCAAGAATGCAGTCACTCTACTGAAAGTCAGGGTTGGGTCACATTAGGATGCTATGGGGAGGAATTTTACAGGGTGGGATATGATAATTATGATCATTACCATTAGTAATAACAATCATATCACACGTTGCAAATTCACCCTCCCTCCTACCATGGATATTAACACAAAGCTCTTGTCGTACTCAAGAAACCCAATCCAAATTTGTTAGAAGGGTCATGGCACACAATGCTACAAATAGAAGCTGGCCTGAAGAGTTCCCTGCTTGGCATCTCCACAGTGCATGGCACTGTGTAACCAAACCCTGACCACAGCGATAAGAAGCGTACATATGCAATGGCGACTGAGGTGGAGTTTCCCATTGAAATCTTTGCCAAAAGGCTAGAACTTAAAATGCTCAGACGTCACATTAAACCAGCCGTGCAACATGCAATCTGATCGATAACCCAAACAACAGGCAACCGTTAAGCTGGGACTTCAAACCAAGTAAAAGGAAAGGAGAGGACAAATGACGAAGGTAAGAAATGGACAGACAGCAAAGGAAAAATGACAAATGGAAGGTACAGTAATTCTGCTTTTTATAAAGTGTCTCTGAGAGTCACACAACCAACGTTCCAGCAAAGAACATGTTAAAGAGACTGTGCTTAATACCGCCTCTCCTGTAAGGGGCCCATAAATGAAGCATAGTCCATCAGACAGCATTATACTGAGGAGCTACTGCACTAGACATGGTAGCAGATGCACAAACAGAAAAATGCTTAAGACAGCAGCCTGAAAAACATGTCCAGCATTCAACAAACACCAATTCTATAAATGCAGTAACCAAAACATTTGATTTCTAAATTTGGCACAAACTCACACACTGCTTTCACTTGCTAACAAAACTGCTGAACAGATCTTCAAGCCTTTCTGTTGCTGATGTAAGTTATTTTTTTCAATCAATTGACAGTAGTAAGCATAACACTCATTCAGGAAATAAATAATAATTCCCGTTCGGACTGAAAGACAAGGGTCACGAGAGGATTGTCCACTGAAAACTCATCCATGTTTCTGACAGATGATTTTCTGGAACGAAAGAAAGAAAGAACTTGCATTTTTACATCATCTTATCACGTCAAAGTGCTTGTTTCTCTAGCAATTGTTGCCAAGTGTGTGACCTTTTTTTATAGGCAAATATGATAGCCAGTAAGGACACACAAATAGCTGTGAGGTGAATTGTTGGTCAGGACACTGGGAGAAACTCCTTTCTCTTCTTGAATAATGCCATGGAACAGGACCTTGGTTTTATAATAATAATCCTTGCATTTGATATAGCGCTTTTCACGTCGGGAGGACGTCCCAAAGCGCTTCACAGAACACACTGTAAAGTGAATTGACTGTATATTTGTGGGCAAACGCGGCAGCCAATTGCACACAGCAATGTTCCACCAACAGTCGTAGATTGAAAATGACCAATTTATTATTGTTTTTGGTTTTTGGAGAGATTATTATTAGGCTCTGTGTGGAGTAAGGAAACTTGCCCAAGGTTTCGCCCTCTGCCTGGAATTGAACTCAGGTCTCTCGCTTGCAAAGCGAGTGCTCTAACCACTGAGCTACAGGATTCATCTTCTCTGATAATACAGTGCCCCTCTCATACTGCCCTGGAGTGTCAGCCCGGATGATGTGCTCAAGTTCCATGAGGGGTTTGTAAGATGTAGGGTAAAAAGTATTAACAGCATTCTACAAAAGAAGTCAAAACTTCCATATTATTACTCTCTTTTTATTAAATGTACCAAAAAATCGTAAAGGGCTCATTCTGTCTTTGTTAGATAATATTGATAAGGGAAATGTACAATAGGAAATAAATAATAACAACTTGCATTTAGATGGTACCTTTCACATATAATCAAAGTTCTCAAAACACTTTATAAAACAATATGTGTTTAATCAGAAATGAAGTGAAGATTGTTAAATGGGAAATTGCGGAAACTGATCTATGCCTGCAACATCCCAACAGCAAGCACTTGTATTTATATTTACAAGAGACGAGTAGCCAATTAAATTGCAAATTTGAGGCTAAATTTGGATGAGGAGGGGACAAGTACCGTAACACTGACACAGAGAGGGAAAGAGCAGAGCAACAGGAGGAAAGAACAAAGAGGTTTCGTCCCCACAGTATTTGGCTGGGTACACATCAGCCACTGACCCCATTCTGAAACACACTGGAATAACAAGTTCCTAAACAGTGGACATTCAAGAAACAAATAGAACATGATTATAACAACAAATTGCATTTATATAGCGCCTTTCATGTCAGGAGATGTCCCAAGGTGCCAGACAATCGCGGTTTTGCACCCGAGTTGGGGGTTAGGTTCGGGAGGAGTGGAGCCAAAAGGGGAGGTGGAGTGGGAAGGTGACTTAAAAGGAGCAGTCAAAGAGGATGAAAATCTTGAGACAGACCTTGAAGGAGGCAGGGAAAGGGCACCACTGCACAGATCCCCAAACACAAAGCAATGAAGTAACGTTTTATTGTTTACTAGTCCATTTCAAGATTGGTGTTTTGTAATGTTATACTTTTAGCCTTTCGTTTAAAAATAAATCACTTTATTTACAATTTTTACTCATTTGAGTTATTGTGTTCCACAAGGTTTTGAGTTTGATTCATTTTTTTCATCCTTTCAGATACCTGAATTATAAGGCAAACTATTGACATTCCAAATACATTGAAGTTTCAGCTGTAAAAGGGGTTTTTGGGGGAAGTGAGTGGGTTGGGGTGGGGGATTGTGAAGCTTGGAAAGAAAATGAAGGTTAGAGAAGGGATGGTACCACTGCATAGGTATTGTCAAATGCAACCTTCTGGAGTCCATAAAACATCTGAGCACAGTCTAACCTAGCTACACCTTAAAACCAATGCTACATATATAACAACGAGAATAGTTTGGTTACATTGACATACAGGGTTGATCGAAAAGTCATAATATCTATCCTATTATTTTTAAAAAATCATTTCTTTAAGACTTATGAGACATTGTAATGATATCACAACTTTTTGGTCACCCTGTAGATACACACATTTGTTGGAGAATCTCAAGACCTGAACAAGAGTGTGAAATTGTGATATTCTCTGCGACAAATAGTAGTTGAAGCACAGTAATAACATTATTTTCATGGGAATTAGGGAGATGCTTGAAAAAGAGGAATTAAGGATATGGAGAATGAGCAAGAAATTGGGATTGGACTCATGTGGAGAAAAAGATCAGCGCAGACTTGGTTTTGGTTTCTGTGCTGTAACATTCAAGGATTCTATGATCCTCTCAAATTTGTTGCAGCTGCTGGTTTTTGAGACCCATTTCCTCAAACTTGCTTACACTGGACATCTGACGCAGTTTCAAATAGACATATCAATGAAACATTGAGAACAGGATTTGTTATTATTCAAGGCCCATTCAGCGCTTATCACTTAATGGACCCTTTGAAGTATACTGAACAATTTGTGTTCCGTACTAACATCTTCCTCTAGATAAGGAAAAGCAGAAAAGAATTTGTTAATAAAGGGCAAATTGTGTCTCTTTTCAAAAAAATATAAAAGGGTGACATCTTTGTGAAAACTAGTCCAACAAAATTTTATTAAATTTGGGTCGAACCTCATGATTGCGTTATTTGCCTGTAATATTGTTGCTCTGAAATTGACATCAACCCTCCTTCTCCTTTCTTAAATACACGTATAATCACAGTATAAGTGACACACATTCAACCAGAGTTAAAACAAATCAGACTAGATTTCATCAGATGGATGCCCTTATAACTTTCGAAAAATTGTGCTGCTACTTTTATAAGCAGTTTAAAAGCTATTAAAACTACATTTTCAGAAGCTGCACAGTATCAAATCTTTCCCACAACATTCCTTCCTTTGTGCAGAACTCGGCCTTCATTGAAGTGCTTTCTCTTAGTTCACCAAAGCTGAGATTGGTCACATGGGAAGCAGAGGAAAATAGGTCCAAACCCATACATGTCTGGCCACGCTCGGTGCTCCCAATCAATCAATGGTTTATAGTGAGTACTTACTCCACTACAAACCCTCCACCATTGGATACATAGGAGCAGTCGGAGGGTATTCAGCCTATTCAGCCTATTTCACCAGTTTCTAAGATCAAGGCACATCTTCCCAAGTATCTAGCTTTCCTGTTGGCTAGCTGATTCCACTTCAATTGACTTTCTGGGGCAGTGCATTCCACATTTTCATAACTCTCTGCGTGCATTTACAACAGGTATTTTGTACTATAATGGTGTATCCATATATTACAAATAATAATGATATAAAACCCAGCATGTGAGATTGCTCTCAAATATTATATTAATAATAATAGTAATCCTTGCATTTGATACAGCGCTTTTCACGTTGGGAAGACATCCCAAAGTGCTTCACAGAACACACTGTAAAGTGAATTGACTGTATATTTGTGGGTGAACGCGGCAGCCAATTGCACACAGCAATGTCCCACAAAGAGTCATGGATTGAAAATGACCAATATATTATTGTTTTTGGTTTTGGAGGGATTATTATTAGGCGTGTGGAGTAAGGAAACTTGCCCAAGGTTTCGCCCTCTGCCTGGAATTGAACTCGGGTCTCTCACTTGCAAAGCGAGTGCTCTAACCACTGAGGTACAGGACTCCATATTGTTCAATTTCACACAACGTAAGTTAATAATAGCTTACACATTCTTACAAAAAGGAAAAACTTACTCTCATCTGTCAATTTGTCTTTTGCTTCAGACATTATACTGTCCACTCTGTTGTTGTACCTGGCTTTATCAGTATAGATAGTTCTGTAGGTCTATATAAACACAATTTTATATCAATTAATTGGTGCATTTCTTAATAGAATTTTTCACACATTAAATAGAAAAGTGGTTTATTTTTATGAATAATATTATTAATATATGATTCATAAACGATTAATAATAATTATTTGACATAGCACCTTATTACATTACCAAAAGATCTCAAAATGCTTCACAGAGTTTTACTGTAAAATGCAGTGAATGTGTATTTTGTAGATGAATGCAATAGCCAATTTGCGCACAGCAGTGTCCCACAAACAGCCATGGAGTGAGTGATCAATTTTTATTTGGAGGACTGTTGGCCAGGACACCGGGGGAAACTCCCTTCTCTTTTCAAATAGTGCCATGGGATCTTTAACACCCACCTGAACAGACAGAAGGGACCTTGGTTTAACGTCTCACCGTAAGGACAGCACCTCCAACAATACAATGCCTCCCCCGCAGCACTGCATTGGAGTGTCAGTTTAAACTGTGTGATTCCAAGTCCTGACGTGGGGCTTGAAGCCACAACCTTCTGACTCAGAGGTGAGAGTGCTACCACTGCACCAAGCTGACCATTAGTGTACCTGCAGTGTTAAAGTGAGATCTGTGCCAATGTCTTCAGTGAAACTGACTTACATAATAGCCTGCGCTTGCACACGCTGCACCGATTACCAGGATGTACATCATTTTCTCGCCTGAGTCGCCTCCCGGGAAACTGTTGGAAGCCATCTGGCGGATAGAAGCTGTGGAGCAGAGCATGGCCATGATTGCAAGAACAACAACTTCAACAACTTGCATTTATATAGCGTCTTTCACATAAGGTAACATGTCGGAGACCTTTTCAGGGTCGGAGTTGGATGCTGAGCAAGGGAGAGGGGGCTGAAGGAGGGAGGGGCCCATAAGCACGTTCAAAAAGGTAGGATTTCAAGTGGGATTTGAAGATAGAAAGCTCAGGCGGTGAGATGGAGTGATAGAGGAAGGGAGTGCCAAAGGTTAGAGGGGTGGGGGACACTCAGCAACCCCAGTTTTCTGAGTGGAGTAGGCAACTGAAGGAGTAAAAGACTGAAGAGATGAGGTGCCAAGGAGTGGATGGATTTGAAGGTGAAGGTAAGCACATTGAAATCGATGGGAATCAGTGAAGACTAGCGAAGACTGGTTAGGGTCTGGAGGGCTGGTGATGGGCAAGCAGAGTTTAGTGCACATGAGGATGAGCTGCAGCTAGTGGAGAAGACAGAGAATTAGGCAAAACTCAATTCAACTTTGCCATCAATGGTGAAAGGATCATTTGGGAGGAAGAGCGTTACAAGACAGACAGCATCGAGGTATCACAAAAACAAACCACGACCACTTGGGCATTTATCATCTATATAACAGTCCACATCCCGCACCCCATCACCTCTAATAACAACAGAGGCTTGCACTTGCATAGAGTTGTAGGGCTGAAGGATGAAAGCATCAAAGCGCTTCACAAAGACGATAACGATCATTGAGCAGGAAGGCCACACAGCAGGTGGATCATGATTATAATACCGATACACGTGAAGGATTGCTGTGATCTTCTAAAGCATAAGAATAACTCTTAATAATAATAATCCTTGCATTTGATATAACGCCTCAAAGCGCTTCACAGAATAGACTGTAAAGTGAATTGACTGTACATTTAAGGGTGAAACGCGACAGCCAATTGTGCACAGCAGTGTCCCACAAACAGTCATGGTTTGAAGTGACAAATTTATTATTGTTTTATTTTCTTGAGGGATTATTATCAGGCGTGTGGAGTAAGGAATCTTGCCCAAGGTTTCACCCTGCTGGGAATCCAACCCAGGTCTCTCGCTTGCAAAGCGAGTGCTCTAACCACTGAGCTACAGGACTCCAAACTCTTAAGCAGTTTATTGAGTTCATTGGAGCTCTGAGCATTACATGTCTGAATCACACTGCATTATTCCTTATAATGGACTTTGTGGATAACAACTCCACATGTACACGTTTCAGCTGGGGAGAGTGATGAGGAATGAGAACCTGTGGATTTTTCGCTCCCCGGCTTCCAGCTTAGGCTAATTACAACATCTCCAGCATTAAGATCCGCTAACTCAGCAAAGACCATAGATGAAATCTGGTATAACACTGAGTGTATCAGTCTGTGTTATCTTGTTACCTATCTCCTCCTGATCCAAACTCACCCAAAATTATTGTGTGTAAGACATTGCTGGTGAAAATTAGCTACCTTGATTGCCTATAGAATATTCATTTCTAATTTTGCAGCCTATTTTTCTCAGCTCTTAAAAAGAATGGTGGGAAATCAACTTTCAAATTCAGATTGAATGTAAGAATTTACCAAAGTTCCACACAATGTTATACTTTAAAACGATCGTCTTAAGGCTAAAATCAAGAAGGATTTGGGGTCAAAGATGCCTTCAGTAGAAAAGAAATTTGGAAGAAATACAGAATAAAGTGTCCAATGTCTAGTGCACTCCATTAAACAACGATTGGCTTCCACCACGGGTGACGTATTGGAGTCAAATGAAACATGGTCAATGTGGCAGGAATTGACATGGGCTGCCTGTCAGCTACATTTTGCAACATAATCATATATTCAAGGAATAAGTAAGAGTGTAGCATCTGGTTATAATGCTGTGTTCCTGCTCATTGTTTTCAAAAGTTTTTTTTATTGCATGGCAATTTCCGTTATTTTAACCACACAGAGAGTTCAGATAGCATATCTAGTGTGTAACAATCATTAGTGTTAGGGGTGTGCTGCAATCCTTTAGTCAGTCTGTATACATATTTATTTTAAAATTATTTAAGTCCCAAACTTTCACCTCATCCTAGGTTCGAAGATCATTTATTCCTGAAATTTACAATGGAAAATTCTGAAAAGCAGTCTTAATATGCCAGCCAGTTTCCCACAGTTCTTAAAAAGAGAATAAGACCAGACTGCAAAATAAGGTTGGACTGAGGAATTTCCAACAATTCTGCATAATCTTAAATTTTAAGACAAAAAGGTCATGCCTGGATGTAATTTCAGATCTTTGAGACTTTTTTTGTACTCCGAATCTTCCTTCTGTTTGTCTACCCTTATCTGTCCCTCTTCAAGCTTAGTGATTCCTGTGAGACCCACAGTTCCACAAATGCACAATGGTCCTCCGGTACCTCATTCCCATCACCATTCTTCACAAGTCAGCCAGGACTGCAAGTGTTGGGAAGCTGTCGTACTTGACCTTCATAAATTTCATCACAAGATCAGTTTGGATAAAGAAGGCCTTTTAACCCATGTGATCTCATCCTCAGGAATACCCACCTGTCACCCTCTCATCAGAGCAATAATAATATAATAATAATTATATCTCTGATGAGATATAATATCTCATCAGAGAAACAAGCTGTGCCTAAACCCACTCATTCTTCAAAAAGAAAAATTGGTCACTGAGGTCTAATTTGTGGTCAGTGTTAACCATGTGCAAACTTGCATGTAACAACAATAATAATAAGCCTTGCAGTTGATATAGCACTTTTCCCGTCTTCTAGACATCTCAAAGCGCTTCACAGAATATACTGTAAAGTGAATTCACTGTATATTTGTGGGCGAAACGCGGCAGCCAATTGCACACAGCAGTGTCCCACAAACAGTTGTGGTTTGAAGTGGCCAATTCATTATTGTTTTTTTTCCTCCATGTACAGTGGTTACAGGTTCACTTTTATTATGTAATCAATACAAAGAATTACAGAATTAAGGAATCCCTTGTAAATTGCCCTTGTACATGTGTTTACACATGGTTGACACAATCCACAAATTTGAGCTCAGTGCTATGAATGAAAATCTCCTTAAAAAGATTAAAAAGTGCAAATACAGAGTGGTTCACACCACCAACTACTTCACACAATAATGACTTCCCACGTTTCAACAAGTTTCTCCAATGCTCTGGGGAGGTACCAAAATAGGTCAAAGACTTGAGCCCCTGGACATGTTTGCTTGCTTGCTGGGACTAAATTAGGATTTTTGCTGAACAAGTGTGAAAATTACTAAATTGAAAGGTTGGTGCCAAGTTTGTTGTTCAATTTACTTGCTGTATTGTTTCCCTATAACTTGTGGATCAATTGGCACTGAACACACAGTGAGCCAAATTGCATATTAAATTATTAACAAGTTGAGCAGCCTAGGAATTGCTCAAATGTGGCTGATTAGTAACTCCTGACTTATCTACAAGTAAAACTCATACATAAAGCACTTCATTGAACACAGATCACAAAGATAGATACTGGAATATAATGCAATGCTCCCATGTTTGTTTTGGCTTGGCCATTTTGCAAACTCCTAGAATAATAGAATATTACAGCACAGAAGGAGGCCATTTGGCCCATTGTGCCTGTGCTGGTTCTTTGGAAGAGTTTCCCAATTCAGTCCCATTCCCCCACTCTTTCCCCACATCCTTGCGAATTTTTTCCATTTCAAGTAAATCTTTTTATTCCCCATTTGGTTGTGGGATTTATTTGGGGTTTTCTCCATTTATTCAACTCTACCAAGAGGGAATCCTTGAGTGAACATCTTAGGCTCTGAAATTACGATTTGTAAACAGTTAAGCCTCATGTGCCACAAGCAGAACATCTGAAACCGCCACCCAGATCTCAGATCAGATTTCCGTGAAGACAGGAGCCAAATAGTGTCCAGAGGTTGATTACTATGTAGCCAGGACACCCTGTTTTTCAAATTTTTCTTTTGTGAATCTCTCAATGTAGACCCCCTTCCATGAGCAAGAAGGCAGCAAGTTGAGGCAAGAGAGCAGTCAGTGATTAATCAGAGAAAAAAGATGATCTCACTGGAAGCTCTAACAGAGAGCCCGAGCGGAAAAGAGTGACTCTGAAAGGAGAATTATTTCTGTTGTGTTTGAACGAACATGAATTTTAATGGTGGCAGCTGTTTAAAACGCTACATTTCTCACTAATTTCGTAATAAGTTGGGCTTTGTTGATTTGCTTGGTTTATTTATTCTGTAAACGTCTGCTCTGTCTGACCTGTTGGTTTAAGAGAGGTTGGTTGTGTGCCACAAGCCCATGTAAAAATCCAGCTTGTAGAATGATTGGTGTGTGGGTGATGGTTGAACCCCATAGGTGACCAACTCTACAGTGACAGAAATTTACAAGAAACTACAGATTTGTGGGCGAGGTGGTGGAATGGAAAGCCACAAAATTGGTAACACATGTCAAGTTCACAGCAGCATTGCATAGAATTATGTAGAATGTACAGCAAGGAAACAGCAAGGCTAACTAGGCATTGAAGGAGGCTCAGCCATAAGATCCCCTGCCTTCTACATCACTGCATTGGTGCTTGACACAGGGAGACCAGAGGGGTGGAAACACAAGACACTTAGGAAAATAAATACAGTAAACCCCTGATAACTCATCACTCCAAGGGTAAAAGACACAGGGACGAGATATCTGTTTACTCATGCAATTTATTTTATTAAAACCGACATGCTAATTATAGCTCTTACGACCATAATTCTCCACGTGTAAGTTCTGCTCTGATCCAGCCTACCAGGCCTGGCAATCCCTCACATAGAGAGAGCAGAAATAAGAGGGCAATTTAATAATTGGAGGGACAGTGAATACAAACATATACTATAGTTTCTATTGTACATCTCCTGCAATTGGTCACTGAGTTGGGATGACAGGATGCCTAGGGACATATCTGAACAATAGGAGATGGTGCAAGGACAGACAGGGCTAAAGCAGAGGAATAAATTATA